AAAAAAAAAAAAAAAGAAAAGAAAGAAAAGCCCAGAATCCCAGGCAAGAGAGTCTCTCTCTCACTCTCCCTTGAATTGTCTTTTTGATGTTGTTCTTGTTGTTGTTGGTACAGGGGATTGAACTGAGGGGTGCTTAACCACTGAGCAACATCCCCACCCCTTTTAAAAAAATATTTTATTTGGAGGCAGGGTCTCACTGAACTGCTTAGGGACTCTATAAATTGCAGAGGCTGACTTTGAATTCTCAATCCTCCTGCCTTAGCCTCTTGAACTGCTGGGATTACAGGTGTGCACCACGGCACCAAGCACTTTTTTTTTTCTTTTAATATTTAGTTTTAGTTGTAGACAGACAGAATACCTTTATTTTCTTTATTTTATTTTTGAGGATCAAACCCAGTGCCTCACGTGTCAAGTAAGCGTTCTCCCACTGAGCTACAACCCTGGCCCCTGTATTTTTGGCTTTCTCCCCAAATGATGTCTCACTCTTTTTTTTCTTTTTTGGGTACCAGGGATTGAAGTCAGGGGCACTCAATCACTGAGCCATATCCCCAGCCCTATTTTGCCTTTTATTTAGAGACAGGGTCTCTCTGAGTTGCTTATCACCTCACTTTTGCTAAGCTTGGCTTTGAACTCGTGATCTTCCTGCCTCAGCCTTCAGAGTAGATGGGATTACAGGCGTGCACTAATGCCCTAGTGATGTCTCACTCTTGTGATAGCCCATTGTCCCTTGAATGTGTCTCTGCCTCATTCTTAAATTCACTTCTGCCCAACTATCCCTTTCAGGGAACTCCTGCTTGCAGAGCTGACTGAGGTTTTAATTGAGTCCATAATGTATTCAATGTCTTCCTCTGCCTAATACTGCTTTCACCCTCTTCCTTTCACAAGACTTGATTTGCAATAAATACCTTGAACCCCAAACTCAGTCTCAGTAACTGCTTCCAGAGAAGCCAGGCTTTGATACTAGATGATGGGTATCCTACATAGCCTACTGTCACCATAAATAGGTTCATTACTCCTAAAACATATCCTAAACACTCATCTGAACTTCCCACTACACAGCTATTTTCCTGTATTATGAGCATCCTAAACTAGTCTTTCAAAAACTTTTCTCCCGAATAAACCTGCTTCTTTATCTCTTCTCCCTTAACAATGATACCACTATTCACCTAGCTCCCATCATCATATTTTTCTTATACCCTGAATTATCTATTGTTAACAACAATAGATAATTCAGTGTGTTTTTGTGATGCAGTTACCCTATGTTGCCCAGCCTGGCTCCCTCAGCCTACCGAATAGCTGGTACTACAGGAACATGCCACCATGTCAGCCTTTAGCAGTTTAAAACTGCTAAAGAAGTTATAGAGGCTGAAAAGAGCAGCACCAAGTTTGGTTCATAAGTACTCCAAAAGTAAATAAAAGAGAGCTGAATGCAGCTAAGCCTTTTGCCTCTGATAAGAGAAAACAAAGATAAAATGAGCAAAAAAATTATGGATGGTATTGGAAGTTGCGCTTATTAACAGTAAGACAAATTCTCTTAGGGGTTTCTGTGTAATTTCTTCCTACTCTAAAAGTATTTTGATCACAATTTAAATTGTGATACCAGTAGCCTGTTACAAAGAACCTTTGAAATACCAGTTCAAGAATGCCCTTCAGGAAAGGGCAAAATGTGCAGCTCAAACTCTGAAGATCACTTTCCTGCTTTTCCTTCATAAAACTAGTCAGGCCAAAATGAATTTCAAAGATCAAAACCACCCAACATCTTTCTAAAATGCTGGACAGGGATATAAATTCTGAGATTCTGTCCAACAGATGGGACTATAATCCTGCAGGTAGATCTTGACTCAACCCCTATTCACATCCAGCTGAGACTTGCAACTTGTAGAAGTCAGGACTATTCCAGATTTTTTTCTTTAAAAGATAAAAC